AAAATCAAGTGAATAAAAAAGCTGATGAACAGAATAAACTGGTGAATATAATAGAATCAGAGGCATAGAAAGGGAGTAGACTGACTATTCTTGGTGGGAAAGAAGGGGTGCGGGGGTTCAGGAAGAAACAAAAATAGTACACCTATGGATGAGGATGGTGGGCGGGGGAGGTAAGGGCAGAGGGTAGAGTGGGAACCGGGTGGAGGGGAGCTATGGGGGGGAAAAGAGGAACAACTGTAATAATCTGAACAATAAAGATTTAATTTAAAAAAAAAATATATATATATATATCTTTGTTTTACTATGGTTGCAAATATCAAAAAATTTCTATATGTGACACAGCACCAGAGTTAAGTTAGGATTTTTCAAAATGCTGACACGCCGAGCTCAAAAGGTTCACCATCACTGAACTAGGAGGTCGCAGTTTGATTCCCAGTCAGGGCACATGCCAGGGTTGAACGCTAAAACCCCAGTAGGGGGCATGCAGGAGGCAGCCAAACAATGATTCTCTCTCATCATGGATGTTTCTATCTCTCCCTCTCCCTTCCTCTCTGAAATCAATAAAATATATTTTTAATAAATAAATAAAATAGTCAAAGTCCCCCAGACAGTAGAACATAAAAACAAAGAGACAAAAATCAAAATGTGGAGAGAAAAGACATTAAAATTAAAGGGTCAATCCATGAAGTCCAAATGTAGCACAATAAGGGTTTCGGGAAAAGAAAACAAGAGAAAGAGTGGGGAGGGCTAGACGATCGAAGTGATTGAAACCACGGGATGAAACACATTCCTCCCAGCTGCTGACGCTGACACATCCTGCAGATTCCTTAGACCTTTTGAACCTTCCTTCCACGGAACCGCCATGAAGCCTCCCCACCAGCTCTCTCGGAAAGCCTTGCCCACCTGGGGAGAAGACTGTCGGTAGAAGTGCTTCAGCTGCTCGTAGGGCAGAGGGAGTTGCAGGCGCTGGTACATGACATGCTTTAGAAATTCACACGTAAACTGACAGCAGCCTTCCTGGCTGACAGGCCCCGGGAATACCACGGGCACCAGGCCATGGCGGGGGCGAAAAGGCTCGGAGCGGCTGGGAAGTTCCTGGGCGGCGGTCGTGTCCAGGAGTTCTATGTGGGGGGCGTGGGAGTCCTCCGCCTCCTCATACCACTCCAAACCTGGCGGGCGCGCACAGGGACAAGAGAAAAGTTACAAACTCAAAGGCCAAAGCCAGCCTTCTCGTCCCGTTAGCCACCCCAACCCCGACACGTGCACATTCCCTTCGCCAACTCCAGTGTGGGTGGAGGTGGGACGATTTCTAATCCCAGTCGCCTGGGATTAAGTGACCGGCTGGTGAGAAAGCGGGGCGGGGGCGCAACTCCGAGGTCGGGGACTGACGCTGACTCAGACAGTGGCGGCCCGGATCTGAACTGAAAGAACGTGTAGCCCAGCAGGCTCCAGAACGCCGCCCAGATAAAGGCAGAGTGGGGTGAACCAATGGGATCGGGGCCGTGGGGCGCAGGCAGTCACTCTGGCCGAGCCAGAGCCGGGAGGGAAGACCAGAAATGCGGACAGGGAAAGGGAAGACAGGGCAGAGAAGGGGCCAGGGGACACATGACGGGACGGGGCGGCGGCGCGGAGCAAACAGGTCTCCCAAGCATCCCGGGATCCGGACCCCCTGCCTTACCTGGGGCTGCGGTCAAGGACCGCACTTCCGGCTCCGGAGCTGCCATCGCGACCTCCTCTCCGCCGTGCGGTTTGAATAGGCGCGCCGCGAGGCATTATGGGAGGCCTGTGCTTCCACTTCCGGCAGATTGGGCCGGAAGCCGACGCGGCGCCACAGCAGTATGGTGCCGACTGTGCTAGGGTGGGTCTTGAGCCTTGCGCTCCTCCCTCCCTCACACCCTCGCCCAGGTTTCCGCCGCGGAGCGCTGCCTCCCAGAGGACACCGGCCCGCACGCACCCTCCGCCCCCCCGCGTCCACTATTCATTGTGCGCCGACTCGGTGCCAGGCCCTGTCCTAGGTGCTGGACGCTCCGTGGCAAACCAGACCGAGGCGGAGGCTGTGCTCCAGAGGCTCACTGCCTGCAGACAATGCAACGCCATGAATCATACAGCACACTGGCAGTGGAGGTGAAGGACAGGGACACCTAACCTAGACGAGGTGGGAGCAAGGGGTAGTCCAGAGACAATGTGCCCAAGAAACTGACCTGTGGGGTGAATAAAGGTGAGGTGGACCTAGTCATCTTGGAGAACGTTAGAGACAAGAACATCCTCTATCCAAAGAATGAAAAGAATTCAGGCCTTGAATGGTGAGCTCAGTGGTTAGAGCGCCGCCCGGTGCACCGAAGGGTCGCAGGTTCAATTCCGGCTCAGGGCACATACCCAGGTTGTAGGTTCGATGAGCGGTGGGGGCGCGTGTGTGAGGCAACAAATCGATATTTCTCTCTCCCTCTCCCTTGCTCTCTCTCTCTCTGGATCAATGAAGAAAAAAAAAATGTCCTTAGAGGAGGAATTTAAAAAAAAAAATCAGGTTATAAAGAGTTAAGGTTGTGGTGGACAAACAGGAGCCAGATCATGGCAAGGCTTTATAACCCACGTTTGAACTTGATCCTGTAAGTGATGGAGAACCTTTGAAAGGTTTAAGTAGGGGAGTAGTATTAAATGTAAATTTAATCTCTACACTGGCTGTAGTGTAGAGATTAGATTACAGGTAGGATAAGAGAGGAGGCAGGGGTACCAGTTAGAGCTAGCAACTACAGTTACCCAACTGCATGGTGAAAGAGGCCTGAGCTGAGGGGTCACAGTCGGTGGAGAGAACTGGGTGAACTCTAGAGAGATACTTAGGAGGTCCAATGAGCATTACTTGGTGGTTGATCCCAGGAAGAAGAGGAGGGCTAGAGAGTGGCTTTCAAGAAGACAAGCAGGCTTTTCACGCCAGCATCTCTAGGGCCAGTTGTGTCATTCAAAGAAAGAACACTAGAGTAGCCCTTCCGACCATGGCTCAGTGGTTGAGTGTCAACCTATGAACCAGGAGGTCATGGTTTGATTCTGAGTCAGGGTACATGCCTAGGTTGCAGATCCATCCCCAGTGTGGGGCATGCAGAAGGCAGCTGATCAGTGATTCTCTTTCATCATTGATGTTTCTCTCTCTCCCTCTACCTTCCTTTCTGAAATCAATTAAAAAATATTTTTAAAACTTTTTTTAAAAAAAGAACATGGGTAGGATCAGTTTTTTGGAGGTGTAGATAAGGAGAAAAGATGAGTTCAGTTTTTGATAGGTTGAGTTTGCCGTTTCATTGAACAGATATTTAGGAATAGAGATAAGTATTTGAGTGTCATCAGCATGGGATTGGATAAGATCACCCAGGGAGCCCTAGCTGGTTTTCCTCAGTGGATAGAGTGTCAGCCTGCAGACTGAAGGATCCCGGGTTCGATTCCAGTCAAGGGTACATGCTCAGTTTGCAGGCTCAATCCCCAGTAGGGGGCATGTAGGAGGCAGCCAATCAATGTCTGTCTCTCTCTCTTTCTCTCTCTCCTTCCTTCCTCTCTGAAGTCAATAAAAAAAAAAATCTGTATTAAAAATAAAAAAGCCCTAGCCAGTTTGGTTGAGTGGATAGTGTCAGCCTGTGAACTGAAGGGTCCCAGGTTCAATTCCAGACAAGGGCACATGCCTGGGTTGCAGGCTTGAGTCCCCAGTAGGGGGCTTGCAGGAGGCAACCAATCGATCATTTTCTCTCATCCATATTTCTCTCTCTGACTGAGGAGTTGCCAGAGAAGTATTAATAGAAAGAGACGTGTCAAGTCACGGAGGCCAAGAAAGGTTGTGTTTCAGGAAGTAGGTACCAGAGATCAAAACATACTATAAAAGACCCGACTGGTATAACTCAGTGGTTGAGTGTCGACCCATGAATCAGGAAGTCCTGATTTGATTCCTGGTTAGGGCACATGCCTGAGTTTCAGGCTTGATCCCCAGTAGGGGGCATGCTGGAGGCAGCCAATGGATGATTCTCACTCATTGATGTTTCTATTTCTCTCCCTCTCCCTTCCTCTCTGAAATCAATTAAAAAATGTTAATCGATCTTATGTCATTGGATTGAGAGAAAGCTATGCTGATGGGTGAAAATGGCCTTCCATGAGAACCCAGGTTATTGCAATTCTCCAAACAAGATCCTATCTCCTATAAGAGAAACACAAAGAGCTGTGTTTGGCATCTCATCTTAAAAGGAGTTTGACTTTTCTGGTTGTTCAAGAGCTGCATTAAATACAAGATAAGATTCAATGTGATCCCTATTAAAATACCAACAGCATATTTCACAGATCTAGAACAAATACTCCAAAAATTTGTATGGAACCAAAAAAGACCCTGAATACCTGCAGCAATCTTGAGAAAGAAAAACAAAGTTGGAGGAATCACAATACCAGATATCAAGTTATACTGCAAAGCCACCATAATCAAAACAGGCTGGTACTGGTACAAGAACAGGCATATGGATCAATGAGACAGAACAGAGACCCCCCAGAAATCGATCCAAGCCATTACATTTAATTAGTATTTGACAAAGGAGGCAAGAGCATACAATGGAGACAAACAGTCTCTTCAATAAACAGTGTTGGGAAAATTGAACAGATACATGCAAAAAAGGAAACTAGACCACCAACTTACACTGTACACAAGAATAAATTCAAAATAGATAAAAGATTTAAATGTAAGTCAGAAAACCATAAAAATCCTACATGAAACCATAGGCAGCAAAATCTCAGCCATCTCCCTTAGCAATATGTTTATGGATACATCTCCTAGGGCAGTGGTCAGCAAACTGCGGCCCCTTGAGTGTGGCTCTTCCACAAAATACCACGTGCGGTCGCGCACATACAGTGCGATTGAAACTTCGTGGCCACACTCAAGGGGCCAAAGAGCCGCATGTGGCTCGCGAGCCGCAGTTTGCTGACCACTGTCCTAGGGCAAAGGAAACTAAGGAGAAAATAAACACATGGGACTACATCAAAATAAAAAGGTTCTACACAGCAAGAGAAGACATCAACAAGACGAAAAGAGCCCACTGTGTGGGAGAATATGTTTGGCAATGATACACCTGATAAAGAGTTAATATAAAAAATATATATAAAGAACTCATACAACTTAACAAAAAAGACGACAATCAAATTAAAAAATGGACAAAGGACCTAAATAGACACTTCTCCAAAGTGGACATATAGATGACCAAGAGGCATGAAAAAAATGCTCAAAGTCATTGATCATCAGAGAGATGCAAATGAAAATGACAATGAGGTATCACCTCACACCTGTCAGAATGGCTACCATCAACAAATGTCAAGTGCTGGCGAGGATGCGGAGAAAAGGGAAACCTAGTACACTGCTGGTGGGAATGCAGACTGGTGCAGCCATTATGGAAAACAGTATGAAGTTTCCTCAAAAAATTAAATACAGAACTGCCATTTGACCCAGGGACCCCACTTCTAGTAATATATCCTAAGAGACCTGAAACACCAATCAGAAAGAATGGATGCACCCCTATGTTCATAGCAGCACAGTTTACAATAGCTAATATCTGGAAACGGCCCAAGTGCCCATCAATAAACGAATTGCTTATGATTTGCAATGACAATGATGGATACTGCCACTGTTTTTCTTATCACTCTTATTGTGGTAAATGTTGATGTATGCCGGAAGTCGGAGGAATTCACCACTCCTCAACTAGAAGAATCGTGGAAGTACAGAATTGAGCACTGTCCCACTGATCCATGGAATACTATGAAGTAGTAGAAAATAAGGATCTCTTACCCTTTGAGAAAGCATAGAGGGACCTGGAGAGTATCATGCTAAGTGAAATAAGTCAGTCAGAGAAAGACAAGTATCACATGATCTCACTCATGTGGAATCTAAGTAACAAAATAAACTGATGAACAGAGTGGATCCAGAGGCATGGAAGCATGGAACAGAGTGTGGAATCTCTGAGACAAGGCGGGTGGGGATGATCAACCAAAGAACTTGTATGTATAACTCATGGACACAGACAATAGGGTGGTGAAGGCCTGGGGTGGGCAGCAGGGGAAGGATGGAGGGGGCAATGGGGTGGGGAAAGGGGGACATATTAACACTTTCAACAGGACAGGTTTTTTAAAAATACAACTCATCATGATCTCAACATCTCAAGTTTATAGTCAGCAGATTTGGTTGCAGAGAATAATCCAAGGAAAGCGTCCAAATAGATTCTGCAAATGATACTTTTTCTTCTTTACGGATTAATGATTTTGAATTTTTGGATTTGCTGTGGCAAGTTTCTCCCTGGGTTATAAAATGTTTCCCTTTGCAATGACAATGATGGATATTGCCACTGTTTTTCTTATCATTCTTATTGTGGTAAATGTTGATGTATGCCGAAAGTCGGAGGAATTCACCACTCCTCAACTAGAAGAATCATGGAAATACAGAATTGAGCACAATGAAATTTAGGCGTTAGCAACCAAGAAACCAACAGTCAGCACCTGCCTATAATCTTATCTGAAACCTGGTTATCTCTAGGCCTTCAGAACTTTTAAAAGTTTCTTGAGCATTTCACTTACAAAATAAACACTAGTTTAAAAAAATGTTAATCGCTTAAAAAATAAAATACTATAGCCCTGCTGGCATGGCTCAGCGATTGAGCATCAAGCTATGAACCAGGAGGTCACGTTCGATTCCCAGTCAGGGCACATGCCCAGGTTGCCAGCTTGATCCCCAGTATGGAGCATGCAGGAGGCAGCCAATCAGTGATTCTCATCATTGATGTTTCTATCTCCCTCTCCCTCTCTGAAATCAATAAAAATATTTTTTAAAACATACTATAAAACTGCTATTATTAAAATATTGTGGTGTTGACTCAGGAATAAACAAACAAATCATAAAACAGAAGAGAGTCCATAAACAGATCCATGTATATATAAATCTTAGTATATTATGAGGGTGACTTTTCAAAGCAAATAACTTGAGCCCTGGCCAGTTTGGCTCAGTGGATAGTGCAACAACCCATTGGCTGAAGGGCCCCAGGTTCAATTACAGTCAAGAGCACAGACCTTGGTTACAGTCTCAATCCCTGGCCCTTGTCAGGGACCGTGTGGGAGGCAACCGATCAATGTGTCTCTCTCACAAGGATGTTTCTTTCTCTCTGTCTCTCCCCCTCCCTTCCATTCTCTCTAAAAAATTAATGGAAAAATACCCTCGGGTAAGGATTAACAACAACAACAAAAAGCAAATAACTTGAGACAAATTCCTATCCAATTAGAGGGGGGAATATCAAATTAGTTCCTACCACACATCCTACATAAAGATAAATTACAAAAAAATAAAATCTTATGTAAAAGCACTATACACAGAATAAATGACTAATTACATCCCAGAAAAAAAAAAGTGTATGTGTGTGTGTATACATATATATCCCAGTCAACCACAGCATAAGCATCTCACAAGTAATTCCTCCAGGAAACTAAACACATAGCACCTTCCTTCTCCCAGGACCCTGATCCCCTCCTGGACAGATATCTGTATTCAGCCTACTTCTCTGCCAGCCTTCACTCCTATTTGTGGTAAGCCAGGTTGTTCAAGAATGGGATATTGTGCCCTAACTGGTTTGGCTCAGTGGATAGAGCGTCCGCCTGCAGACTGAAGGGTCCCAGGTTCAATTCTGCTCAAGGGCATGTACCTTGGTTGCAGGCACATCCCCGGTGGGGGGTGTGCAGCAGACAGCTTATTCATCGATGTTTCTAATTGTCTATCCTTCTCCCTTCCTCTCTGTAAAAAATCAATGAAATATATTTTAAAAAAACAAAAAGAATGGGATATTGCCCTAGCCAGTTTGGCTTAGTGGATAGAGCATCAGCCTGGGGACTGAAGGGTCCTGGGTTTGATTCCGGTCAAGGGCACGTACCTCAGTTACAGGATCCAGGACGAGTGCAGGAGGCAACCAATCCATGTTTCTCTCACATCCATATTTCTCTCTCTCTCTCTTCCACTCTCTCTAAAAATCAATGGAAAATACCCTCGGGTGAGGATTAAAAAATATATTGAAAAAAGTGTATGAATGATATTGAAAAACAAACAGATCAATAATTTTTTAAAAGAATGGGATATCAAAATTAGTTATCCTCTCCCAACTCTCAAAAGTCCTCCACTTAGGAGACAAGGGTATTGGGATGGGTAAAGTGAAACTGTGTGTTGGAGGAGTTGAAAGATCCACGCACATGAGAAGACAAGTGTTATCAGGCAAGCGCAGCAGGCCCTGGCTATCATGACAGCCCAGAGCTGCTGGTGGTGAGAAAATGGGAATGGCCTTAGCTCTCCCTTCCAATCCCCATCCTCCTTGAGATCTGTCACTGAGTTTTTAGGTCTCAGCCTCTACGTAGCAGTTTCTCTGGCTAAGGTTGACTTCTGCAGTATAAACTTCCTTTAGCTGAACAGGGTTGAGAAGTCAAATGTGCTTTCAACCACTGAAGACCACATAATTGGCTGGGTCGGCTAAGGTCTTTTGCAGCTTTTGGCCCGTCAGCTTCCACTGTTTGGGGGAGTTATGCCAGGTGGGCAGCAACTCTAATTAGTAATCTGCCACCTTCCTTGTGGTGTTGGGGGGAAGCCATGGATTCTACCACCTCTGAGCTTCTAAAAGGATCACCAGAGGTAAGCCACTGTTGCTGCTTCTAATTTTCCAAGTTAAACCGAGGTCCGGGGGGGTGTGCTGTTTTATTTCTCGGCTGCCTGTGAGCATCTCGCTGTTTGTGAAGAGAGGGGAAGTGGACATACAATGAATGGTGAGTCATGAGAGAGCCAGGGGCTCGGAATTGAACCCTGGCGTCCTGACTCCCAACCCAGCAACACTAATTGCTTCTCCACTCTGCTTTTCCAATGTCTTGCACACTGGCTTATGTCGCTAAATGTTTACTCTTCGCTGGCTGCCAGAGCTCTAAAGAGCAAGAGGGATGACTTGGCAAGAAAGTCAAAAGTCAGCAGCAATCCTCTGGGGCCCTCGGCCAAGTGTCTATTCTCGGCCACGTCCCCGCCCTCGATGTGGTCGAGGTAACCCGAGCCCGCCCCTCCTATAGCCCTGAATGTTTTAAAACTAAACTCGGTTCTCCCCGATTGGTTCTGCTTCAAAACAAGAAGGAGGGGCAATACTCGCGGCGGGCATCCTTGTAACCCTCGGGCAGCAAGGCTGGTTTATGGGTTCGGGCCTCTTGTTGGCGCTACCGCGGTGTCTTGGGCTGCTAAAACCAGCCCCCGGAGGGTGCCAGCCGGTAATAAAGCAGTGACTGCTCTGTAAAGGCAGCATAATCATCGTAACAATAACAGCCATAATTAGGCTAACCATCACCCGCCTCCGCCCTGGCATTAGCCCTGACTCACCCCGACGGCACGCCGACCATCGGGGAAGAAACAGAGGCGGGGCGGAGCCAGAAGGCTGGAGGGACCAGTCGCCGTGCATTTGCAACTCTCCAGGTCTAAAACCTGTTGCCTGGACCGCGCTTAGGGGCCACACCCAGGAGTGTCCTCCAAGCTGGATTCCGAAGTAAGCCCTCCGGTGACCCCCCCACCCTAAGGCCTTCTTAGATAAAGACCCGTTCAGAGCGCGGAGACTGGAAACCGACTACAGCTCCCTTAGACCTTTGCGAGCAAAGGCGCGCTCCTGGTCTACGCCCCGAAGCCACCTGCGGCCCCTGCGCCGCGATGCTTCCTGGGAGTTGTAGGACGGCGGCGACCTCTTTAGAGGAAGCTCTTGGGCTTGAGGACTCGATATCCCGTGGTGCACCGCGGCTGTTTCTGACGCGCCTAGAGCCGGAGACGGGTGGGGGCGTGGCTTGGGCAGGGCCCCACCCCGCTCTCCTCTGGCTGGCCGGAGGCGGGGGTGGCA